CTGACACTTCTCTGAGCGTAGTCGTAGACCGTTGTCCTGCATGCGTGACAAACAGCTTCTGTCCTGCTGTAAAGTTCGTTTATAGAATTCGCTACCACCAAGATATCATCAAGATAGACGGCAACACCCGGAATACCTGCCAAGATAGTATCCATCAGTTGTTGGAAAATAGCTGGGGCAGTTTTAACTCCGAAAGGTAATCTGTTGTATTGGAACAAACCGCGATGTGTATTAATGGTAAGGAGTTCTCGGCATTCTGGGGCTACTTCCACTTGTAGATATGCGTCAGCAAGATCCAGTTTTGCAAAATAAGATCCACCATTTAAAACAGTGAATAAATCATCCGGCGTAGGTAAAGGATAGTGGTGCTGTTCTAATGCAGCATTCAACCCAGTAGAGAAATCAGCACAAATACGTAGGGACCCATTCGCTTTCTTGACAACGACGATGGGTGCTGCCCATGCCGAGTACGTGACTGGTGTTAATACGCCTTGTTGTTGCAGTCTCTCCAATTCTTCGTCAACTTTTGGTACAGATGCATATGGAACTGGCCTCTTTGGGCGAAAAACCGGTTTTGCGTCTGGTAATACTCGAAAGGTAGCTTGCAGCGAGGTACAGTGACCTAATCCGGGCTGAAAAACAGGTGCGAATAGTTTGCATAAATCAGAAAAGGAGTTGGCTGAATTTTCATCCTTGTTAACTGCGTTGCATACAGAACTAAGTGGGACATCAGCCAGATGTAAACGATCGAACCAATCAAGTCCCAAAAGATTTAAATCACTCCTGGTGACGTAACAAATTCCTGTGAATTTGATATCGCGGAAGGAAACAGAACATTCGAGTTCACCAATTAGTTTGAGGCGCCCACCACAGGCGCTGACAGCAGTCTGAGAAGTATTTACGATTGGTGGTCTGCCAATATTATTCCAAAGTTTCTCTGATATAACAGTAATATCAGAGGCGGTATCTAGCTGCAGACGTGCATCATGACCATTCATCTGAAGGTCAAGATATTTCCGCATACATGGAGTTATGACTTGACAGGTTGCGAGTAGACTCAATGATCTTTTTGGAGATTTAGGACCAACAGTTTGTCGAGCTTTTGCTGGATTATGATATCTGGGTTTGCGTGGCTGACAAAAACCATTTTTATGACCGATGATTTTGCACTTGCTGCAACGATGATTTTTGTATGGACAAGACTTTACAAAGTGCCACGCGCCACAATGCCAGCATGGTGATGGTGGGGTCTTCTTTGCAGTATTTTGTGAAGTTGGACGAGTATGTGTAGATTTCCGCGGAACATTAAGAAGTAGGTGGGTCAGGAGTGGATGATGAGAGATTTTTGCTCTTTCGTAATGCACGAATATCAGAGCTTCTCGAAGGTGTTGATTCGACCAGGTGTGTGTCTTTCTGCAGATTAATCAGCCGTTGATATTCATCAGCTATGTCATGTAATGTTAACTTGGGATTTTGTTCTAGCTGATTGAGCAGTCGAGTTCGGATATCTGTGAAACGAGGAGATTGGAGACTGCATATGAGAATCAAGGCTTTGAATTGATCATCTGTTAAGGACCTGAGTCGAAATCTCTCACATTCTCGGTTGACTGTGCCAACGTGAGTAAGAAAATCATCATTTTCATTCATTGTCAGCTTGAGGCAACGATAACGTATGCTGAATAATGAGGAGTGGTCTCCAAAATGTTCACGCAGCAGCTTTATTGTATCATCGAAACACTTGTCACGTGGTTTCTGGGGTAAAATTAGGTTGCAGTACCGTTCATATTCTGCCGGACCCAATTTACGTAACAACACTCGCACCTTCCAGGCATCGTCTTGTGAGGCGAGATCAACAGTGAATAAATCCTCATAACGTTGATACCATGTGTCAAAAGTGACATTAGCCTCTGGGTCATAATTGAACTGTGAAATACTGTTCACAATGCCGTCGACAGATGGTAGCATGGTATGATTGGGATTGCTTGAAGGTGAAGCTGGACCAGTCTGTTGGTTGACGAACATTTCCATTAATTTCATTTGTCGTTCAAACAATAATTCCAATTTAGAAGGATCCATAGTAAATTGTTATGTTGCTGCTGCTGAGTGGTTAATAGTAGTTTTCCCCGTCGCCAAATTGTTATGTACTCGTCGCTAAATTATTGTTATGGTCTGGTCGAGAAACTAATAGTCCTGACGCGAGAAGGCGGAAATCAGAAGACCACTAGGTTTGCGATGATACTTCTATTGTCCAAACACAAGGAGACGAAAATAAATGGTCTCACACCAAAGTGGTAAGTAAGTAAAGTAAAGTAGTTCACACAAATTGTGTATGCGAAATATATATGAATGTTCAGACAAGGGTGTGAACAAATCACTAGACAGTCTTAACATGAATGGCTAATTATAATGAAGTATCGATCCATATATGCATATAGCAGACATGTCAACAACCAAACATATATGGATATATGTCACCAAGCAACGGACTGTCAACAAACACTCATATTATATATAATATAATATAAGGAGAATATACATTGTTAAAGGAGACAAGTTCATACAAGTGAAATGGTCACAGACTAAGAGAGCAAACAGAAAGAGAGACCAACATACACACACACATAAATATATATATGTGGATACATATCAACCACCCCTAATTGTATCTATCAATTCAACTGCTCCTGTGACTGTCGCCCTAGGAACCTAATTTTTCCTTGCTCGGGAACACCTAACAGTAAAGTTAGATAAAGTAACTTTTATAACCACTAAAAGTTCTATATTTGACCACCTAGTCCAAACAGGCCACCAAGAGTTGAAGAATCGTTTTCTATCATCTATTGAGTATCGAATAATTCACGGAAGGCCTCCAGATACTGAACACTGCAAACAACAGAGGCCAATGCAATTCGCTTAAATCAACTGGAGCTCTGCGTGCAAAAGAAGTGTATCAAGGCAATATTACTACTCTGATCTTCTGTCGAACCTATAAATTCAAAAATTCTGTATCATTTTTCTTAATTTATCTGACAATTTTAAATGAATACAAACCACTCACGAACGCTTTTGAACTGTAATCACTTATGAAGACTATTTATTCAATGTAATTTAAAACAGCGTCAGTGTTGCCAATATCAATATTTCGTTAATTATTACTGTGACATAAATTTAGGACCTGATGACGAAGGAGTTATCGAAAAGAATATTCTTTATTCATTAGTCGGTCTTTTAAAGTATGAATAGTGTTTTTGTCGTGCTTAATAAGAAGTTATAGAAAATTCGGTTAAACACTGAACTGAATCATCTGGAATTATCTTTATACTGGGCTAAGAGTTGGTTGCATTCTTATTTTTCTGATGGAATGCAGTATACTGTATATAATAGCAAATCTTATTCTGCCTCGCTTACAAAAGCCGGCGTTCCTCAAGATGCCGTCCTCTCTCCTTTTCTTTTTTCTTTCTTCCTACACGACCTGCCTCATTTAAATGAAACTAACCATCTCAAATATGCAGATGATCTGACTGTATCACTGCCTATCACTTCCGAGTCAGACTGCTCCAAACTTAACAGCTTTCTGTTGGACATCAACAAGTGGTCTAAGTCAAATGGTCCTATGTTAAATCCTTCCAAATGTCAGGCAGTTAACTTTACTTTCAAGCATCGACGTGACATACATGAACTAGTTAGTTCGCATGATGTCTGCAGCATAGATAGCACGGAATTTGAAACCAAGTCAAGCATTAAATACCTTGGATTAGTTCTTCCCTCTGACCTTTCATGGTCATCCCACATCTTATCTATCTCTAAGAAAATGTTTCGTCTTCTACATTAAAAAGTTAAGATAATCAGGTATCAACCAACCTTTACTTATGCAGCTTGTAAACTGCTGCATTTTACCTATTGTACTTTATTGCTCTCCATTAATCTTTCCTGGGCTTCTCGAAAAAGACTGTATCATATTACGAAGAGTATTAAATGCTGTGAGTAGGGCATGTGGTCTGTTATGAATGAGCTCGCCAATACTATAGTCGAGAGGCATGTAAATTCTTGTGCAAAATTTTTTTTATTTTTGATTATAGCTTGATTCCATACAGTATTTCCGGTACAAGTATGGAATTTTCAGCATGGATATCGGTAGCCCAAATTTCGCAGGCCGACCATAGATATTAGGTGTGCGTCGGCAGGGTATCGAACCTGGGACCATGTGCATGGTCGACGAGAGTCCTAACCACTGTGCCACCAACGCACAATGGGCAAAGGTCGTACTGTCAGACCCCCTGCACCCCCTTTATTCATAACTATCCCCTTGCATCTCATCAGGTAGGACGAGAAGTCAATATAAGAAGTTATATGCTCGTACCACTAAGTACAGAAATTCTACAATACCTTATTTAGCCCGTACTTTATGTGATGAAGACACTGTTAGACGTGAAACACATAAGTTACTATGTGATTAGCACAGTAAATCGACCCCTTCATAGTTCATCTTTCTGTACTTTATGGTATCAGACTTTCTGTCGTTTAATTATTACTCTGCTATTTTATTTTAGTTGGTATTACTATTATTACTACAATTTCATACTTTATGCATATTTTTCTCCGTATTGCATACTGTAATTTGCTACATAGCTGCTATGACAACGATTTGTTATTATTATAATGTAATGTTTATTTTTATTTTTTGTCGTCTTTTTTTGGAGTAAATTAGATGCAATATTGTACTGAATGCTGAAAATTCCTTGCTGTATCATTAGTACTGTTTTTGGAATAAAGCAAAAATTATTATTATCTCAGCTGTTTTGTCACTTCCTGAAACTTCTCGCTAATTTTGACAGTGTAAATAGCCTCACTAGCTACATCATTAGAAATTTAGACTTTAAGAATATGAAATCAAGTTGGACAGTTTATTATTAACACATGTTACTGTCTATTGACATAAACATTTTAGTTTTCTTTATTAGTTCTACCTATTTTCCCCATTGTTATTTTTTATTTGTCAGGTGTATAGAGGAAATTTACCTGCTTGTCGTATAACTGGTTTGAATCCGGCTTCTGAATACGTCTGTCGTGTATGTGCTGTTCGTTTATGTCAACCGAATAAATTACCGGTTATTAGTAATTCATCTTATTCGTCGTCTGAACAAGAACAATTTAAGGTAAACATTTTGTTTGTTTGGGGCTATATATATATACATATATTCTGGTTTTCAATGAACTTTTCAACGTTATACTGTTTGTTTGCTAATGCCATTGGCTTAAACATTTGGCTAGTTGTTTCATTGACACTCGAACAACTATGACTAACTGGCCTAGGCAATCGACCTTCAACTAAGTGACCATAAGTTGAAGTCTTTTTCCATCTCCAACTACCTGAGTGGACTTACAATTGACATAGAATGCAATTAATTATTTACTGAATTGAATTAATCCAATTCAATCTGTCATCAAAATCAACCTTAAACAATTTAAGTGATTGCCTCACCTCAGTCTTGCTAACTAACACTACTGTTTGATATGATGAATAGTTTCCATTCATATTTATATCAGTTCTATAGTGTTTCATGTACAACTTATCTGCTTACAATTTCAGCTCCACTTATAAAATCCAGCATGATTCTATGTGTGTCAGCTTGACTACATTCGATTCTGAGAAGTGGTTATGGTGATATTTTGCTAGTAGAAGTAACCAGTAATCTGCACTATGTTGGTCATCGATTTGAACTGTGTAGCGCAAATCTCGTAGTATCAGTGAATTTCATGAATTCTCAGACCTCAAATCTGAGATCGTGATCTATTAAAATATAATGTAATTAATCATTCTTTGTCTCTCAATGTCGTTATATCAACTGTTTTAGGGTTAGCAAACATTCGACAGTATCAGGGACACTGAAAACACGTTCACGAAGGATAGTAAATCTTTAGATTTCAGTGTCCAAACATAACAGTTTCAAAGAGGACATGTCACGCTTCTACTTAGAATTCTTATGCATATATTGCTAATGAAATTTCATGAAGTATATTGACACTTTCTGTTTCCTTAATATATGAATCTTGCTGGTCTGTAGGAAATTAGTTCAATTTCATCACATATATGTAATTTTGTAGAAGAAGCAATAGTAGCGAGAACACACACTCATTCAGGTCACTATCGATCCTTTGCAACAGCTAAGCTTATTCATTAAACTGTCTATTTAGATATCCATTATTCTCCTTTATTTTTATATTATCCGTCGCTTGGGTTCCGAGTGGAACATAAGGCTTCACTAGCATATCTCAGATCCACAACTTCCCACAAACTTTCATTTTCTGTTCACATGGTCTCCTACCTGTCAACCTCGTACCCAATCCCATTTCGGGTTCCACTCGTCGGTCTGTTTGGCTTGTGACCTCACTTTAGTTTCTCCTCAGCGTATCTCCAGTTGGTCTCCATTTCCTCTGCATACTTGCTAGACATTAGGTTCTTGGTTGGTTCATTGTCAGGGTTCCTTGTTGCTTATTTTTTCTGCCCAGCAATCTGATCTGCCGTATCGAGATGGTGGTGAAAGAATGTGTTGGTGAAAACTTTCAGCGTCTTGGGAATGTTTTTTAGTGACGCTTGTGTCTAGCGTCTGGACCATATGAAAGCATTGACTTGACATTGGTATTCCTTGTATCAAATATTGTAGATCTCCACACTGATTTCAGAGTCGTGAGCACCTGTCTTACTTTTTCTGTCCTCCCTTGCTTTGTTGATATCCGCCTGTAGTTGAGCCGATGCTGTCCAGGTTGATGAATAGGATTTAAGCACTGTGGCAGAGTGTAATTTCATCGTAGAATAATTCTATCTGGTAGAAATACACGGTGATAATCATACCAAGGCGATTATTATTATCATTGTTCCCTTGGGTTCCTAGTGGAACGTAGGACTTCAACTGCACGTCTCCACTTGCCACTTCTGTCTTCCTTCTGCTGTATTTTTCACCTGCATCCATGCTAGCCCATACTGTTTCAACTCCTGTTTATACGATCTCCTCCATGTCACCCTTGCACTGACGTCCCACGCGCGAGTGTCCAATCCATCTCCACTTTCTCCTTGCCTAGATTACTAACCCGCTGATTTCCTAGCCGGTCCCAAGCCCAGAGGGAGGGTTGGAGTGTGGTGCTAGCAACTCCACCCCAAAACTTAACCAAAATGCTACAAAAACTTCAACGCATAAATATGTCAAAAATACCAAGGCGATTATGAACAATAAATTGTGCTCGATCGGGACGTCATCAGTAAACAATACTGTATAACTGAGTGTTTTTATCAAAATAAATTCATTGTCTCATGAATGATGATTACTGGTTTTCTGTTGTTGGTTGTTGTATGTCTTCATCACTTTTGATTTTCTCTCAATTAACTCTAGATGAATTCATCAACTGATTCTTCTCAATATCAAATTATTGAATTACCTGGACCCTTCTCACCAGGTCTTGTATTCACGACACCTCGTCTTAATAAAGATGGTCATTCCGATTCCATGTCAACAAATTGTCATTCATTCAAACAGAATTCTCCATCTAAACAATCAACTTTTCTAAGAATTTTGTCGATACCATTCCAAACTGTTCGGTGTATACTTTCATTTGGTCGGTCATCGAATAGAATAAATGATTCATCCAATTCAATAACTCCGTCTAAACACCATCAAACTCATTCGAATCAAGTAACTCCTGCTACAGGTACATCATCGAATTCAACGGTGATTAATGCATCGGATAAACGTCGGTCTGTTCTAGTCAGCACAACAACCTCCTCTTCAACAGTAACATCAGCAGCAGCAGCATCGATGTCATCAGTATCATCATCATTAACTTCGTCTGTGTCCACGATATCTACTCCGAGAAATCAATCGAAACAATCTTCGTCGTCATCATCATCATCAAAACGATCACATTCATGGTTCCGCTTCACTGATACTCAACTAGCCTGTCTTCTATTAATTCTATTCAGTTTAGCTACACTTTTAGTAGCTATAAGTTTACAGTACTTACTTAATGTTCACCTGAAAATATCTAATCCTACTGCAACTGTCTCTAATATGGATTATTCATCGTATGAAGTGAAATTAAGGTCTAATAATGAAGATACTAGTGACAGTACATTATTTACCTCTACAACAACAACATAAACAATCAATCAGTAGTCGTTTTTCCCCATGAATGAATATCAATCACAGATGTTGAAGTAATTATCATGACAACGCTCATTTATTCTTATTCTTTCCTTTCCCCTTTTCAAATCTTCTGCTTGTATCTGTCTGTTTATCCAATCCTCCGTCTGTCTGTCCGTCTATCTATCTATCTATCTATCTATTCATCTGTCTAACTTCTCTATCTGTACACTGGCTCATTGTTGTTGTTGTTCTTTTTTTGTTTACTTCTAGCTTCTATCTTATTATTTTCGCCGTCCTCGTGTTTCTCTTTTATCGCTAATTATGTCACCCATTACAATTCTGCACAAATTTGTATAGGATAAATGATGGTGTGATTCGTGTCGATATAAATATTTCCAGCTTGATGGTGATAATGTATCCAACACACACACACACATCAATTACAATGATGTCGATGATTATGCTAATAGTTACCAGTAAATCTACTTAATTCGTCTACTGAACAAAGTAACCGTAAGCACACACACACACGCACCCATGCATACACTCACGTCTGTCACTTATTCTTTCTAAGCATTCTATAAAGATATAGTAGAGAAGAGAGTTAGGTTCATTTATCTGTATTATTATTACCTGTTATATTGCGTGTGTCGATGTGAGTATGCGTGCATATTTGCTTATGTACCTGGAAATATGTTTGCATTTAAATAAGTATCATTTTTTGTGTAAATTAAAAAAAAAAACAGAAACGGGCACACCATTGATATGAATGCATAATTACATAACTATTGTTACCGAACGCACACATAGACATACACTCGTGTTTCCGGTTCATTTTCGTCTGTATCTGTTTGCTCGTTGTTTTTGAATTCAGGATATTATATATATGTGTATGTGAATACGTACATAAGCACACTTACATTGTATATGGCGTGTTGAATTATCACTGGTTGCTTTCCTTCCTGACCCCTCCCCGCCCTACTCCGTCTCCCTTATATATATATACCGCGCCATGATGTCTTTCCTACGTTTAATAACAATAATCGTGTTGGTGTTGTTGTCGTCGTCTCCGTCGTTATTAATTATTATCATTATGATAACTACTGTCGTTACAATTGTGTTTTGTTGAAATTGTCGCCTCATGTTTTTTCTTCTTCAACTTTTTGTTTTTCGTCTCTTCCTATGCCATTATTACTATTTTTGAGGAGTGATGCTGAAATATAACGCGAACTGCTGACGCTGTTACTATTATTACTACTACTAATACTATTATTATTATTAATACTACTTTATCGAAACTGTTATATATTGGTGTCATTTGTTACTGTTATTATTGTTGTTATTACCGTTATCAAGGTGACAATCTACAACTATACAGCTGATAGTGTTTGCGTGTGTGTATGTGTGCGTGTCTCGGTGTGTTTTGTTTATCCCATAAGCAACATGTAAATTAAATTATGAATAAAACTTTATTAATTCTCCTCTTTATTTTCTAAGTCTTACACATACTTTCGGGTGTGATAGTGATGCTGATAATAATTAGGGAGAGTAATGGCGTTTTAAAAGACAATAGTGAATAAATAGTTCCATCTACTTATCTTGTTTTTGTTTTTGCATTATACTTTAAATATTATCACAACAACAACATCAGCAATAAACACTATTTAAGTGATGTGAGTAAATTAAAGAATAGGATATTGCTTATCACTCCTTTCTTTTACCTGACCAATAATAACGCCAACTGTATTATGCCAATGTTGGTGAATTCAATCAATCAATCAACACACATTGTATGCAAAATCCTATTCGAAAATCAAGTTGATTTTTCAACGAAAATCAAAAGTGTTTTTTTCTTTTCCCTTCTATTGGTGGTTCGTTGTACTTTTTTTAAAATTTATTCTTTCTTTTGTTTCGCGTAAACTGCTCGCTAAACTATATTATAAATAATAAACACATGTTTGTCACGGTCTACTCCTTGTTTACATATATATATATAACATTATTCCATTTCTTCCTTTTTTGGATCACAGTGTCAGGTCTGCGTGACCTTGTGCTTTGTGTTTGTCTGTCTATCTCATTTGTTTTTGTCTTTCCAATTAGAATTCGTCTCAGTCATCGTTTTCGCCTTTTGTATATGTCCGTCTATCCATCTATCTATCTATCTCTGCTATCTATAGATCCAATCAATCAATAACTTTCAATTCAATTCTGTTGTTATATCATTCAGGTCTTGTGTGAATGTGATTATCACTTACGTTGCATTATATATTACAATTAAAATTATTGTTGATTTTGTTGTTTACGCCTACTCATCTTGTGTATGCATACACGTATATATATATATATATATATATATATATATATATATATATATATATATGTGTGCATACACTATTCAAATCTTATTATTGCCTACATTTAATTGTAAAATTTTTTTGTTGTGCTATGATAATTTTAATACGAAGTTTAATACAAATCCATTTTTCCATAAGGAGTTATTACTTTAACCTTGGACTGGTCAACTTTGATTCATCAATTTCCTTTTGATTTTTCAGGTTTGCATATACAATATATGAATAATTATCTCTTTATTTTTTCGTTTTGTCCTATCCATCCGTGTCAGTTATGATGAATTATGTTTGTGTGTTTTTTGCCCTGTTTATTTACTTGGTTAACTTCACTTAAACTTCTTCATCTCTCAATCCATTTGTTTTGATTTATTCTGTTTTCCATTTTTTTAAAATCTTTTTTTGGCATATTATACATTTTCTGCTTCTGAATTGATGAATATCTAATTAACCGAATAAAGTAATAAATAAATAAATAAATGGATGGAATTAAGTTTATTCTGCTGAACCCCATCCTGAATTATATGATTCAAAGACTTCGGTTTTCCCCTCGAAATACACACATGTGCATATATTTAAATATTTATATTAGGCCCTATATCAGGCTTCACTAAACTGATTGAATATCAGATAAATTAAGGGAAGTAAAAGTAAATTTATGAATTATTAGGTTCGACAACAGGCCATAGCATAGCGGTTGGGACGCTCGCCGACCATGCACATGGTCTGGGGTTCGAGCCCCGGCCACCGACGCACTCCTTTACATCGCTGAGCCAGAAATAATGCTGGTAAAGAGGAAAGGTTGGGCATGAGGCTAGCAAACCCATCCAGTAAAATAAACACTGCTACAGAAACTTCAAGCCAATAGCTTGAAGCCCTATGGTCCAGTGGGGAACGTGAAGCAAAAAAACAACAGTCCAGGGTAACAATGGTGGCTGGGTCTGCTCGTTTTGCACCTCGTCTGAAAAAGTCACAAGACTGTCATTAACGAATCTTTATCTATCATCTACCGGGTATTGAATAAATTACCAAAAGCCTTATAGATACCGAACACTGCAAACAACAGAGGCCATTGAAATTCATTTAAATCATCTGGAGCTTTGCATGTATAGGAAATTATTATATCCTTTAATTCCTAGAGGAACATAGGGCTTCAGCTGCGCGTTTTCATTGCGTTCGGTTTTCTGCCAACTTTTTCACCCCGCTCTAACTCTGCCTATATGCTTTCATCTGCTCTTCACACCACCTCTTCCATGTTGCCCTCTCACTGACGACCAACTTGCCGCTTCCCTTTCAGGTTACACTCGAGCAATGGCTTGTCTAGTGATGTCACTTGATGGTTCGTTTTCTCAGAGTATGGCCAGCCAATCAACCTCCATTTCTTCCTGCCTATTTGTTGCTCAGTCGATTTCTGCTGGGTCGGTTCGCTCCTAGAGATCCTTAACAATTGCTGATCTTTTCTGGCCGGCCATCTGATCTTGAGTATTGAGCGAAGACAACTGTTAATGAAGGTCTGTAGTTTGTTTGAGATGCTCTTTATGACGCGCCAAGTCTCTGATCCGTGTAGTAGCACTGACTTCACACTGGAGTTGAAGGAAAAGGAAAGGTAAAAGGTAAAGGGAATGGGTTCATAAATTTTCAGCTACTTCCACTATCTGATGTTCAGTCTAGTGTTATATTAATGCACTGAAATACAATCTACAAATTTGATTTATCCAGTGTAATTTAAAACAACATTATTGTTGTTCATAACAATATTTCTCTAAACATTACTGTGTGCGTTGGTGGCACAGTGGTTAGGACTCTCGCCGACCACGCACATAGTCTGGAGTTCGATCCCCTGCCGACGCACACCTGATATCAATGATCCGCCTGCACAAATTTGGTCTACCGGTATCACATGCTGGAAATTCCGTACACGTACCAAAAATACGGTGTGGAGTCAAGCTATAATCAAAAATAATTATGGAACCTGATGAAGAATTTATTGGAAGAAATATTCCTTATTCACGAATTAGTCTTTTAAATCTAGCATTACTTAATGGCACTATTTGTTTCCTAAGCTTTTATCTGTGCTTCAGTGGCACAGGAGTAGGATGCTTGCCAACCACACAGGTGGCTGGGGGTTCGATGCACGACCGACACACTCCTTCACCTCACTAAGCCAGCAAGACGAATGGTAAAGAGGGAAGGTTGGGTATGAGGCTAGCAATCCCATCTCGTAAAAACAAATACCACTACTACCGAAAGCTCAAACCTCTAGCTTGAAGCCCTATGTTCCATTGGGAACGTAAAGGAGGAAAAAAGCCTTTGAGCATTTGTTTGCACATACATTTAGTGAATGGTGACTAGCAATGGAATACAGGATGTGCATTTCAGCGTATATGGGAGTCAGCATTTGGATGTACCTGCAATCCCTAATGAGTGGTGGTGTTCCCACTGGGGCTCGAACCCAGCATCCATCGTTTCAAACGCCAGAGCGTTTTCCATTGAGCAAAAACAGCTTTCTCTCTCTTCGTTGAGCGTCCCTACTAAATATCGATATGTCAGAACATTCACAATAATAAGAAGAGTAAAATTAGTTCTGTTCGGATGAAAATTAAAATCTGAAACATAACTGAAAAAAAAACGATGAAAAGATTGAATGTTGCAACAAATTTATACAATTTTATTATGTAAAAATAACCACAAAGGCAATGCGCAGTTGACAGCCCTTTGGTCTTGAGCATATAGATTCCGTATTAAAATCTTCACGACAGTTGTTTCAACAAAATGTAGTAAGCTGGTTTCATGCGTTTGCTGATGCTATCTCCTTCAAGAAACATTTTATTTTGACAGTGTAACACCAAGCATCCACCAAAATAGTGTTGTATTTAAAATGTTATATCCCTAATTTTGGTTGACATTAGCCTGCAACCTTAAAATAACTATATTTTGCCGCTGTCACGCATTAATAGCGCTTTCGGCATTTCCCACTCTCTGTGAAGATTGGGCTCATATTGGTTGCTCACTCGTCATACATATTGGTGAATTTAATGCTTTTTACGAGTTGATCACCGATCGGTATCAGTTAGAGAACCATTGAAAACCAGGGAATTTCGGACAGCTGTTTCATCCTAGTTTGAGAACCATTGGGAGTACGCACCCACTGGGGTTCGAATCTAAGACCTTCCGGTTACAAGGCAAGCTGGCTTGTATACCATTCAGCCACTGGGACCCGATTCAATAGCCCATGAATTCTAACTTCTACCAATTCGTGATTTAGCGCGACCGTCACCAACCAATGTCATCGGTGGGATATCCATCCTCACACTTGACTGGTTGAACCTCACTGGTCACGACTTCTCACTAGAACTCCAGGAAACTCTGTCCTGTAGCACGTCCCTGATTTTTGATGGTTCTCTAACTGATATCAATCCATGATCAACTCGTAAAAATAACTAATCCTTACAAACCTAATATAGAGAATTTAATGCTTCTAAAGGCCATTCAAAAACCTGGATATTCAGCATGGCTGTCAACTGCTTTGAGTGTTGTTTGAGACAGTAGAAGTTCCCTCATGTTGTTTTCACTTTCTGGTGGTAATGTTGTTGCTGTTATCGGGGTGGTGGTCAACTAGTTCATTTAACTAGTCATATCAGTGCTATCATGGTTGTCATACGGAAAGTAAACAAAGTCTGCGTTGAAGTAAGTAACAATTAAGTTTGTTTTTAAGTATCTTCTGTTACAACTTCGACTAGTAGTATCAGAATGCTTTTAAGCCTAAAACAATAGTGTGTAATATCATAAAGGCTGAATATTTTAGATCTTTCAAACAGACAAAAAACAAACAAACAGAAAACTCTCCACTGGAACAACTTTTATGAGTCAGAGCTCATGACTAATCCCCTAATCTTATCATCCTGGTTACAAATGAGAGTAATTGGTTTATACTTAATATTTATTTGTAAACGTATGCATCTCAAAGTAAAGTCTGATGACGTCTAATTATAAATAAAACCCGATCCATATCAGCACAGTGAATCTGTTTATCGAATTCACAAATGACACAGTTTTCTTTGGAAACCGAAATACCTGATCTGCTCAACACCATCTGAATGACAGTCGGTGGCACAGTGGTTAGGACTCTCGCCGACCACGCACATAGTCTGGAGTTCAATCCCCTGCCGACGCACACCTGATATCCATGGTCGGTCTGCAAAATTTGGGCTACCGACATCACATGCTGAAAATCCCGTACTTGTATCAAAAATATGGTGTGGAGTCAAACTATATTCAAAAAGTAAATACCTAATAGAACACACTACTTGTTAATTGAAGTAAGTAGTTGAATATCACTCACATCAACTAACGTTGCTTACTACCCACATCGAAGTGATTTCAATGCTAGACGGCTGTTCCGCTCATGCTTTGTGATGATATATCTGTTAGTCTCACACTTCGTGTTCCTCCAATATATTTGAAAGATATTATAATTATAATTATTGTTATTATCATATACTGACAACTTTCATTACACTTTTTAAGGTGAGTACTTTTCACCACCAGTGAATGGCATTGCTATGAAGAGTCCATTTAGACCATTGTCGGATGATGTATCTATGTCATACCCCGAAAATCTGTCTGGTGGCTTGAACACTAAAATGCCTTTTTCAATGGAAGATATATTGATGATATCATCGTAATATGCGATAAACATGAAGATACAGATTGTCTGTTGAATAGAACTAATTCTGTACCAGTCTGATATGTGAGGAAGAAAGTTGTATTCAACTCGCATTTCTGGATACACTTTTGAATCGGAGAGAAGATGGATCAATAAAGCGATCGATTTACAGAAAGGATTTAAATTTTCATTTTTCGGAGTATTCAGTCGTATTATCAGTAATAATAATAATAATACTCATTTATGTGAATTCGATAGGAAAAGGGTTGGAAAAGAAATCAACATTTCAGATCATTGGCTGGTGTGGTACAGGATTTAGTATTTCGAATTTAAATTTAGG